TTATTCTTATTCTAAATCATATTTTTTTTAATCTTCATTCTAACTCCTTCCAGTCTTTATCAGAAAGAACATCATTAACAAAACTATATTTTGTTGTTGAAAGAAATAGAAAAGGAGAACTAGAAGTTTAATTTGTTTTAATGGAATTTAAATTATATAAATTTTTATTTCAAAAAAAATATTCTAGTAAAAAAGTGAAAAAAATAGAGAACATTAATGAGACAAAGGGTTTTAATAAAATAAATGCCTTTTTTATTCTCATCCCATCGTTCAATTTCTATGATATTTATTATAATTGCTTTTGTTCTTTATCAGATACGGAACATAGCTCAAACAAGTTCCAGTTTTTATTTTGTAGAAAGACAATAGATTAATATGAAAATAAGGAATTATACTAAAAAAAAAAAATTATCTGTACAATTTAAATTATTATTTAAAAAAAAATATTTTATTGAATAAAAAATAGCTCCACATGACACAAGATAAGATCTCTTAATATGTATTTATCTCTTAACTTATTAATTAAATTTGTAGTTAAAGTTATTGGTATATATAATTTTTAATTTATTTTGCTAAACTCAATCATTATCTTTTTATTTTACAATATTTTTTTTATAATGCTATAAAACACATTAACATTATCTGCATATTTGTTTTTCATTGAAAAGTAGCTTGTGATTTGACACGAGAGAGTTTGAAAATACAGTTATATTTGTGTGTTTTTTTTTAAATAATTTTTTATTAAAAAATAATTATTTTATATTTTAGATCGTTTTAATTAACTAATTTTAAAAATAATTTTTTAAAAATAAAAAAATAATTTTAATATATTCTAATATAAAAAAATATTTTAAAAAATAACCATAATTACACCACTAAATTTCTAAACAGAGATGTCAGTTAACTAATAAGTAATATCCGAGTATTCATAATAGTTCTAGTAAGAAAATCCAAAATAAAAGTAACTATACAAAAACAACCAACAGCAAGGCGTGACTGCTCATCTATTTATTATTGTAAAAGTAATACTGGCAAGAAACTCCAAATTTAATTCAATTAAGAAATTATAATAAAATTGCATGTTTAAAACCATTTTAATTATCAAGAATTAAATTTTAAAAATAATTAAATATCTAAAAATAATAAATAAATAAATAAATACTTATTTTTTTTATCACTCTTCTCCATCTCGTCAAGAATAAATACGTACTACAATTAAAACCTCAACTACACCATCACCAAAACACTGTTCTCTTCTCATCTCATCATAATTTATCTTGTTTGTCCTCGATTAGCCTGTATAATCTTGAGAAAATAAAATCTTAAAAAAGGTATTTGAATTGATTTTTTTGAGTTATTTGCGATGATAAAAGTGAAGAAAAATGGAGGTGGAAAGAGAGAGTAGTGCCTGTCATAGTCTAAAGATGTGAGTTTTCTGTGGTTAAAAATATCTAGAATATTAAGAGAATTAAAGGAAATAAGATAAAATTGATAAAAGCAATATGAGATGATATGCTCGCGTTGCAGTATATTTATAAATATCTTTGATAATATTATAATTATGAATTAATATTAGATAAATAATAAAAATTAAAAATATAATTAAGCCAATAAAATACTGAAAAAAAATTATGTTGGTGATTAAAAACTTAGAGATTGAACAAAATAATTTATAGTAATCTACAGTATTTTATAAAGAAAGATATAATATTTTCACCACATGATTTGGTTTTTATGTTAATAAAAAACAAAAAACAATTGCAAAACTAAACTCTCTGCCAACCTAATATTAAAAAAAACCAACAAAAATAATTTTGGAAGAAAAAAACTCATGAGAAAAAATATTGTAGCAATTGACAATGTTTTGTGAGGAAAACTACAGTGCTTTCTCCAATAAAATCGACAAAGATAATTTCATAAAAAACTATTTAGAGAAATATTGTATCAATTCATAGTATTTTGTGAGAAAATTTACAACACTTTTACCATATGATTTAATTTTATTGTAATTATAATTCTTAATTAATTCAATATTCAACATAAAAAACCAACAAAAATAATTTTAGAAAAAATCATATAGAAAAACACTACAACAATTCAAAGTGTTTTAAAGAAAAAATTACAAAGCTAAATTCTCAACCAGTTTAATATATAAAAAATAAAATTCACGAGGATAATTTTAGAAAAAAAATAACTAAAAAATAGAGAAAAAAACCATGTTGGAAAACACTATAACAATTCATTGTGTTTTATAATGAAAGCTACAGTGCTTCACCATATAATTTAGCCTTGTTTGTAATGACATGCAATTATAATTCTCAACCAGCTTAATATTAAAAAAATAAAATTGATAAAAATAATTTAAAAAAATCATAAGAAAAAAAATCATATTCAGATACACTCTAGTAATCCATGATGTTTTGTGAGGAATGCTACAATACTTTCCGCTCATAATTAAATTTTATTATAAAATTAAATTCTAACTAGCTCAATATTAAAAAAATAAAATTGACAAAAAAATATTACAAAAAAAAACATAAAAGAAACTAAAAAAACCATGTGGGAAAAAACACTATAGTAATTCACAGTAATTTAGGAGAAAAGTTATAGTGTTTTTTCTTACATATTGTAACTATAATTTTTAACCAGCTAAATATTAAAAAATAAAATAAAAAAATAATTCAGAGAAAATCATCAAAAAACAAAAAAAAACATAAGGATAAATACTATAGCAAATAACAATATTTTAAAGGAAAAAATTATAAAACTAAATTTTCAGTCATCTTAATATTAAAAAAATTAAAAAATAAAATAGAAAAACCATGTAGGAAAAAACTATAGCAATCCATGATAATTTAAAGGAAAAAAATTACAAAATGAAAAATTTAATCAGTTTAATATTAAAAAAATAAAATCAACAAAGATAATTAAAAAAATAAATAAATAAAAGGGAAGTAGAAAAAAAAAAGAGGAAAGTAATTTTTTTTTAAAAAAAGAAAAAATAAACAAAAAGAAAAAAGGAGAAAGTTGAAAAAAAAAAGGAAAAGGTGGAAATAAATAAAAAAAGAGAGAGGAATGCACTATGAGTGAGAAATTCAGTGTTCATCCACGCACATGTTATGAATTGTAATAAAATATTTTTTAAAACATATAAATTTATCTTATCTATTAATTAAGTTTAAATTAAGTATAACTCTAAAATATATGCATTTTTACCTTGCAAGACTGCACTATTCACCTTATTGCATATTAATGTGGATTAGCTATGCAAATTATTATTTTTTAATTAGGTCCTTAAACATTTCTTCTTTGGTGATTTAATTTTAATTGAATATTAATTGATCTTGATTTTTTATAAAATGGTGGGATTGAAAGAAAAGGAATCAAAATAGAAAGGTACCAAACATAAATGACATGTTATAAGTTTCATAAGTGATGCATTTTGGTCCTTGAACTTGAACTTTAACAATCATATAAACTATATAATTTTAATATCTTAATATTTTTCAATTTAATTTGGTATAAAAATTTATTTTTATTATTTTTTAGTCTCTAGTTAAGAGATGAAAGAAAGAGATCGTCGAATTCTGGTAATAAAAAGAAACAATTATTATTAACACCGATTTAGATCACTAAAACAGATAATAATCGTGTCAAATGATTTTATTTGATAAGGAGAATTTATTTTAGGTGTTTTTTACCTTTAAAGTTAATGAAATAACATATATGAGATCGAATTGATAAATAGTTTCGGGTTGATTTTGATTTTTTAAGGCCATAAATAGATTTATTGCAATTCCTATAATATTTTATAAGTATTTTGGGTCAAAATGGATTGAAAGATAGGTTTTTAGGTTAAAAAACTCAAGTCTTGATTTTTCAAGTATCATAATGATTGAAATTTAGATAAATCAGACAACACTTAATCTAATTTTTTGTTTTAAAAAAACATATGGGGTGAATAATTGTTTCCCTTAGATGCAAACAAAAAAATTAAAGGTGCATTTTTTAGGGTCATGATAAAATAAGCTAAGCAAACTATTTGACTTGCTTGGTTCAGTGATTTGATTTGTGAGACTCAATAGTGTTTAATTTTTGTGTTTTTTAATTATTTTTTTAATTAATTATTTTTTATTTTTTATTATTTTTTAATTTATATTTAAATTAGTATCCCTCTTTCTTTGTTTTTATTTGCAAAACCTGATACTGTTTTTTCAGCTGTGTACTTAAATTTAATTTTTTTATTCATTTATATATATAGTTTTTATCTTTTGTATGTATATTTTTTTTGAAAATGAAAAACATAATTTTAAATAATATTTCTAATACATGTAGTCTTACATAATTTATTTTATTTTATTCAATTAATTTAATTTGAATTTATATTTATATTATTGTTGTTTGAATAAACATTATTTTAATAAATAAATTTAACAAATATAATCAGATAAATATCTTGTTTTTCAAGACAAAATATTTTGATTTATTTATTTATTGATTTTTAAAATTTTATTTTTATATATCATTAATAATTTTTTTTGCTCATATAATTTTTAATTTATTTAATTATATGTATGCATATTTTTTTTATTTAAATTTTTTAAAATATAAATACACTTTAAAAAAACTTGAGTATATAATTTTTTAATATGAAAACCATGGCAAAATACAGATAATATAACTGATTAAATTTAGTAGTTCATTAATTAATTTGTTTACTAAAAATTATTATTTTTATATTTTTGAATATTTTAAAAATGTTTTTTAAAAAATAAAAAAAATTATTTTAATATATTTTTAAATAAAAAAT